GACGGCTATCCGCACGTTCTGGTTGCGAGCGATTGCACGTGTCCTGCTGCTCCACTTTCGACCTAAAGCGCGCCTCGCCAAGGGCGCATGCGCCCTGGTCCGACTCGGCCTGGAACAACAGCACCTTTTTTGACCACGGCCCTTATCCAGTTTCTATATCCAAGATAGTAATCCAATCTTTAGTTAACAACAACAAACTGCATGGTTTGCGCACTCGAGAGCATGCCACGTATAATTGTCCATGTGAAAAACTTCGTGTCCTCAAATCTAAGCCACAAACAGACATCGTTTGGCTTTGACACTTATTAATAGTGACCCCAAGTGACAATCTTATTAGTAATTGAATTGGCACATCTGTGGGTATAATAGGGATCCGTGATAGTAGTATATTTTCACCTCATCGCAACATTTATCATTACATTTGAATGACACTAAGGCCCCTGGCAGTAAATGTTGTATTTTGATATTTAATTCGTTGACGTCCATATTTTTTATGCCAAAATTGCTCCTTCCGCTTGACACTCATGATTAATGAATTGTGTGTCTACATCGGGGAATATCTGGTCAATTTGCAGTATCTTGCGACTCAATGATTGTGAAGAATTCAGTCGGAATTTGTATGCATTCAATTTCATCTACAGTAAATTGTCCATCGCCGATATCTAACAGTTGTTTTGAAAATGTTTTGAAAAAGGATTTGAACGCGTATATTAACTTTAAGTTTTCAACATTGCGCCAAAGTGGGGACGGACTGATGGGAAGTGTTTGTCTAAAATCTCCTGTAAAGCCGGCTACTCACTACGCGGGATTTGCGAAGTACTTGACTTGTAATATACCTTGTCATGCACTTGCCGAGTCCAAGTACTAAGTGCCTACTTGAAAGTTTCAGTTTTATTTCGGGAATGGTTCACTAAAAAATCTGCCATTTTTTTGAAAAGCAAACCAGTGAGGGATATCGATATCATCAATCCAGCACCACTTTTTAGTTTGCTTTTGCAGATACGGAAGGTGGCCATAAGAGAGTTCTTTTGCTTTTTTAAATCCTCGATGCCACATTCCATGTCACATTTTGTGAAAAACTCGTGTTTGGTTTATGGTTAGACTGGTTTCGTTGAATGAAACTTGTGGACTGTATTTAGTAGTAAAATAAACCAACGATAATGAAGGAGCAACTGACACTGACTGCTCACGGTGCTGGTACTTTTTTTACGTTTTTTTAAATACATTATTCACTGGAGCGCTAACTTACTCCCCGCCTTGAAAGCTGAAACTTTCAATCTTCTATTGCTAGTGGACTATTGGTAGTAGTCCTATTGGTAGTGGACAAACTTCTTTTTACTGTTCCCCTTTTTGTTTTTATGGACACCACGTGACAAACACTATCTGATTCTTTGTGAAGTTCTGTGACTCTACCCTACCTCCAATCCGTTGGCAGAGTATTGTCCTCTTTTAGGAGTACCAAAGTCCCCTCGGAAAGAACGCCCTTGGTTGACTTCCACTTGTGGGGACGTTGAAGCTCGCATAGGTTTTCTCGCTTCCAACGATTTCAAAAATGCTGACAAACTTGTTGAACTGATATCTGGTTAGTCGGTTTCGAGATATATTCTCCAATTGCTTGTCAGGTGCAGACGTTAGAGTTCTTCCAATTAGGAAGGCAGCCGGGGTTAGGGGCAAGAGGTCGTTAGGATCGGAAGACAATGGGGTAATTGTTCGCGAGTTTAGGATTGCCTCTATTTGACATAATATTATTACTAATTCTTCGATGAATGTTAGATAAAACTCGTTTTAAATGGTGCTTAACAATCTTGACGCCAGCCTCCCATAGTCCGCCAAAGTGCGGGGAATAAGGAGGAATGAAAGACATTCAATTTTTTCGTTAATGCAAGATTCCATTAACTGATTTTGATTTTTTTTCAAAACTTGCCTAGTTCACGATTAGCCCCCACGAACGTTGTCCCACTATCGAAATATATTTTAGCGGGCCTGCCCCGTCTAGATATAAAACGACTCAAAGCTAGTACAAAAGAATTAGAAGACAACCCCAAGATAAGCTCTAGATGAATTAATTTCGTAGCAAAACATACAAATACGCTTACGTAGCATTTTCCTAAAACTTTACCTCGGTTTCTGCGAATTAAAAACGGACCGGCATAATCCACCCCGACCACTTGAAAAGGACTTGAAGGAATTGATCGCTCTAGAGGCAGATTGCCCATGATAGGTTCTACAAATGCTGGTTTAAACCGAAAACAACGTAAACATCTTCGAGTTACAGATCGGGCTAGATTGCGATAGGCCAAAACTTTTCTCGAATGCTAGTTAATAATAGTTGGGGACCTGGATGAAGTAGCATCTTATGTTCATACTTAAATATCAATTTAGTAAATCAATCAGAGGGCTTCCTTCTTGCTTTAGACGGCCACCTACACGTAACAATCCGTCTTTATCTAGTATCAAAATAAAAACAAAATAATATTCTCTAATAAAAATAAAAAATAATATTTGCTACATACGAAACTTAAAATGTAAAGAAAATAAACAGTTAATAAATATATAGTAATAATTATATTTTTGGTTAGCACTGTTTTTTGGTACAGATTGGTATGAATTTATTTTAGTTTTACTTTTAAATTATGCATTACAAACTATTACCTATAATAATTACATTTTAATGTTGAATTAAAATATCATCATACTCTGCAACATTCAGTTCTTTTTCGGCATGTTTTTTTTTATGGTCATACATAGGCTGTCCTAAATCGAGATGCATATTTTTGGTTGGCTCAAATTGTATACAAGATCCTGAATCATTTACATGTTCAGATGCTAACAGTGTACCTTTTAATGTGGATGTTATCATTTTATTCCTTAATTTAGTTTTGATTAAATTTACACAAGTGTATTGTCTTGTCCGTTGTTCGGAATAGGAATTATTAGACCGCTTTTCCATGATTTCGGAATTTTGTTACTTGAAATGCATTTGTCTATTTCAGTTAGGATGAGTTTATGGGTTTCTTGGGTTAACCTTTTCAGGAGTTTTGCCTTTATTTTGTCTCTTCCCAGTGCTGTGTTTTTGATATGTGCTATGGCTTGTCGTACTCTGTGTTTGTGGTTAATTTGTAGGTATAGTTTGGTGGGTTGCTAAAATAGGTCATGTACCAGGACCATGGACATTTTTTATTTCAGGGGTAAATTTTCCTATATTTTTTTATATTTATTTTTAAAGAGTATTTTTAAAGACTTGCTTTGGCCGGTATGTTTTGTTCTAGGTTGGAGTGTGGGTGTATGTATGTCAGAAATATGTGAATTAGGTCATTTAAGTAGGGTATAGTAACATGTAAGCAGTCGTGTAAAGGGTTGTTGAGGTGGGGAGGATTTGCTTTGCCCAGTTTGGTTTTAGGTTCGAGAAGCACTGCGGCCCCGCCCCTCGCGTGATTAAACGAATTGCAATGTCTACAGATGTACTGCCAGCCCTGTATGTTGAAGTATGTCCTAGTTTAGTCTTAGTCTCCACAAGCATGCAGCCGTCGATGTCATTACGTTCAATGTAGTTGTATATTAGTTGTTGTTTGTTGTTCAGTCCGATGATGTTGACGTAAAGCAAGGTTGTTGATGGTGAGGTGAATATGGTGAATGTTAGTTTGCAGTTGGGGTGGATGTGTTGTTGTTGGTGTGTTCCTCTAGGAACATTTGATGTGGTTGGTGTTGTTACATTCTGTGCGCATGTGGCAGCGTTGCAGAGGTGATTACTAAGCAAAGTAAATATTAAACAACAATTGATTTACTGAATAAAATAGTATACTCTAAGAAAAGTGTTTATTTTAATACAATCTACTAAGAATGGCAGTATTCCATTGGTTCATGAGAATCTAGAAGTTTATCATTTTTGAAACACGTGCTTAAACCTTGATTGGATTACATAATTACCACTTTAATTACAACGTTCTTGGATAATGAAAACAATCTTAATTAGCTATGGCAACAGATTAGGCACTGGCTGTTTGGAGCTTTTTACGCTTTTCCAGCTCCTCTGGTAAACACACAACTGACCGTCTTCCATAGGCTTTGGCAGTCATTAAAGGTGTGACTCGTGAGTCCACATCGATTTTTTTTAATTATAATTTTTTTTCGATAGAGCAGCCTTACTTCTTGCTCGTTTCCTGATTCTGCTCCTTTATGTAGAGGAAGGTCCCCGATTATAGGTCAGTCACCAAATCAACTGTGGTGCCTTGCTGTAACAATGCTGCAACATTTTTTCTATTTTCGCTCTCACCAGCTGCCACATGCAATGCAGTAGCATTGTCGAAGTTACGTAGGTCGATTTTGGCGTTGTTTTCTGTTAACAATTTGCAACACGACAAATTTGATTTGTCGTCAACACGATAAATTGAAATTTCGGACAGAACAAAAGAATAAAAATCAACATTTAATGAAAACTATTTAATTAAGGCAATGACTTAAATGACAATGATTTTTAACGACAATTTAATAGAGAGAGAGAGCTCCTTGAGCGGCTATTTCGGGCGGTCCTGTGCAAAGCCCGAAGGCCGCTCTGTCCATGTTCGGCTTTGAGCCTCTCCAAGATAGTATGAGAGCGCGTCCCAGTCAATGTGAGGAATTCGGGCAAGGGGGTTATAGGCGTATTGTTCGTTTATGTTGATGCTGATGGGATTGTGGTCTGAGCTGAAAGAACCGGAGTTAGTTAAAATAATCGTGTGGGAGATGTCTTTGGTTAGTGCGATGTCCAGTATGTCGGGGGTCCTGTAGTGGAAGTGGGTGGGTTCGGAAGGAGCAAAAATTTCGAGGTTTAAGTCTCGTGCGTATTTGCGCACTTTAGGTCCTTCGGCGTTAGATTTTCGGCAACCCCAAGGGACGTGTTTCGAATTTAAGTCGCCTGCGAGAAGACTTGGAAGGCTGTCAAGTATGTTGTCGTAGTCTTGCGAAGATGTGTGAATTTTGGGGGGTTTGTACGCGG